ATAACCTGCATGCTTGAAACTATGAACATTACAAAAGACATTAAAAAGAAAAAATATATCTATTGTTTCAAAATTGAATAATAAAATTAAATTATTACAATAATAGGTCCACACTAAAAAAGTCAGAGCATTAATACTAAGCACATCATAGAAACAAATTATTTTAGCCTACATTATTCAATAGTTGCTGCTGAACATTGATATCATCTTGAAGTTTGTTATTCATCATTTCACAATAGTAAAAAGTTTTATAAATTAAATTTCAATTCCAGAGATCCTACTCACTGGATCATTGGAGTGCATCACGGTGGTAATACGTCTCAAAAATTCATCCACATTGATGAGTTTATCGAGATGGCGACTGCTGGTCTCGAGAACCTCACATACACAGACACGCACAAAATTGCTCCTATAAGAAAGATGAGGACCAAATTATTACAACATTATAATTAATACAATTTCCATTCTTCAGATCATTCAATTCAATTTACATTCAGAGTATTTCCAGGGAAAATAAAGTTAAGAACTGTGAGCACAACCTTGATGGCTCCTAATTTGTAAAACAAGATACATTTTCTGAAGAAAACTGTAACCAACCCTGCCGTTTCTTGACGGAAGACCTCAGCCAGCTTCAGCATAGCAGAATTGATGAGAATAGGGAAGGGATATTTCTCAAACAGGCAAGGAAACCTGGAGATGGCCTCACACTGCTCACCAACATTGCTGGATTTCAAGCCTGCAAATTGACGTTGAAAAAATAATTTGTGTATTAAACAGAAGAGAATAATTCAATTCTTTAGAGGTAATCAAGCTATTTAACCAAATATAACATTTTTTTAGTGATTGAAAGCTTTCACAACTTGTATTTCATAATTCACTGCAAAATAAATCTCAACATTGATTTAGATATATTTTAAAAACTTGTGTAAAATTCAAGAGCAAAACCTAAATTTTAAGCTATGACAGAAGCACAAATTTATGTATACTCCTCTAGGTAGAAAACATTCATGATGATATGAAAGTTTTGAAGATACCTCCCTTTACAAAAGCACACAGATGCAAATGGAATTGATCTAGTTAGTTTCCTACAAGTACAACAGTTTTAAATGTTTTCTTGATTTATTACTCTGCTAGGCAGTCAAGGGTTTTAAGCACATTATTGTATTGTCTCAATAAAGTATTCTGCATGGACAGTAAAGTGTTTCAAGTACATTATTGTATTGTCTCAATTAAGTATTCTCCATAGACAGTCAAGGGTTTCAAGCACATTATCGTATTGTCTCAATAAAGTATTCTGCATGGACAGTAAAGTGTTTCAAGCACATTATTGTATTGTCTCAATTAAGTATTCTCCATAGACAGTCAAGGGTTTCAAGCACATTATTCTATTGCCACAATAAAGTATTCTCCATAGACAGTCAAGGGTTTCAAGCATTCTATTGTCTCAATAAAGTATACTCCATGGACATTCAACAGTTCTAAGAGCATTTCTGTCTTTGATGCTTTTCTAGTTGTATACTATATACACAATAATTTTCTAGCCTATATATATATTTATATAGTTCTCTAGTGACCTGATTGAAATAGGTGGAAAATTTATACAGCATTATATACCTACATAAGCATCAAAGAAAAATTTCTATCCAGTGACTTAATTGGCAAGCAATAATATTGCTCAATGGCTAAAAGAATTCACCTCGATCTAACTCTTGAAGTGCTGAATTTGGATCTTGGTCATTCTCGCCAAAACCAGCATCAGGAAATGATATGGATCGCATCAAAGTAGCAGCCATTTCCCAATTTCAGAACCTGACTGGAAGTATATTAGTTATAGCTTATATTCAATTACAGAATAGAGCTTTTAGATCTGATATCTATTATTATTCTCCAAGTTATTGCTTCCTCAAGCTTTTGGAAGTCATCCATGTAGTGCTACAGCAGAGGGGAGAGTAATGCCTCAAAGCTACATCTCAATAGATTAGAAACAAAGAAATAAGGCAATCAAGAATGACACAAATATTTCAACATTGCTTTATAGTAGCATTGCTACTGTTAGGGGATGCTAAGTCAAAGGTGCTTGCTAGCTATGCCCGAGGGCATTAATTGTGAAGATTCAGGGAAGCAATTGTTTAATAATGGTCTCCACATCCCTACAAAGTACAAACATCTCAATCCACCATTATATTGAATATTTTTATTGTATTTATTTAATAATTTATCAATAAGTAAACACAACCAGAAAGAACAAAGTATGTACAGCAGAGGAAGACAGGGAGAAGCAACCAGTTCAAAACCATGACCCAGATGCCTGAAAGCAGAAAAGAAGTATGATAAACCTTTGGAATGCACTATAATCTATTATAATAACACAAACACAAAAACATTAATAATTTTCAGCCAGTAAGTCATTTTTATGCAGTGTACTTACAATTTTTACTAGAAATAATGCTCTTATGTTGATTTCAAACTTCCACTATGCATGCCTTTGCACCTCAGAAAAAGAGGGTTTGCACAGATCCCTAGTAGGAAAATCCTGCTTCCTAGAAGGAACATAGAAAGAGCATCATACAACAATACATATATTTCTGGCCATTGACAAATTCTCTGGCCATTACCCACCCGCATTGAAACAATACATATATATGTATATTTCTTTAAGAAGGTTTCATTGAAGACCAGAGATTTGGTTTATTTAAAATTTTCTTAGTTTTTCCATTATATATATATAATGAACAATATTTAAAATTGTTTTTAAATTGCACAACGAAATTGAGCAGCTGTTTATCCTGCCACCTGAGACAAGCTTGCAACCAGACCAGGTCTCAAAGTACGAATTGCAATCAAGCAACTTCATCTCAAGATCTACGATGAATTCAACAGGCTCCATGACACCCTTGACAACAAGGTCAAATTCAACAAGACCGTCAGTCTCATTGTGATGCAGGAATCAAACAGCATCATTGTCATGGAGTGGACTGACATCATCTGACCAATGATGGCTGAAGCCCTCATTTCTACCGATTGGACTCCAGCTATCCATCTCATAACTTGTTGATTTTCTGAACCTTGAGATTCTTTTGGAATTATTTTCATAGTATAAATTTTTGTGTTGTATTATATTTATGTGCATCATGTACTTATTTCCACCAAAATTTCTGTATTCAATGCTTCCTATAACTTAAAAATTAATGTCACATTCAAAATGTCATTAATAAATTAAATTATTTAATTGTAAAAAGAAAAAACGAATAAGAAAATTGCCAATAAAACAAATTCTCTGGACTTCAAAGCAGCCTGCCTAAAGGAGTAAATTCTGCCAACCTATATATACTAATTTCCACATGACCTGGCACTAATGACCTGGCAGCAGGAGAAGAAATAACTGTGTGATACATACTATATAAACTCGATACATACAACAACATGTTGCAAGTATTTTAAATGGTATGTTATGCTAATCTTGAGGAAAATAAACTTTCTTCTTTATGTACCTCTATTACTCTTTTATTTTGCCTCAAAACTATTCAATCAGTTCTGCCCCACCCTGTATAAGCTACCTAACACATTTAAATTGTATTTTGTAATCATTATATAACAAATAGTCAAATAGTTAAAGACTACTTATAGCCTTATAAAAATTAGCTAAGCTGCTAGCTACGAACAATGTATTGCACACTTGATGCCTCTGTACCAAAAACATTCAATTTATTGGAACCTAATACACACTAAATGCAAAAAGTTTTCATACCAATTTGTCATTCATGATACATTTATACTAAACCATAAATAACAATACCTCAATATAAATTAAAGACTGCCACTCAATATATTTAAATATATGAATAAATAAATAAAATTTAACAAATAAAAAAATCATGATTTTTTATAAAAAAATCAAGTGATTTAATCACATGATTTAATCATTTTGATTTAATCATTGCCGACCCTGAACACCACTACCCTAACATTCAACTGGAAGCTATTTCATCAACTGTTTCAGTATTGTTCAGTTCAAGAGTGTCTAGCTTTGTTTTCAAAGATCGCCTCATGGCGTTGAACCTTGCGATAATTTTCAAATCCCCAATTTCTCTACATTGCTTCTGCATATTCATCTGCTGCTTGCTCAAGCGCCTTGATGCCCTCCTCTGTACGCCTTTTTTCCATCTTCAGTTCATCTAGCTCATCCAACAGAGCCTTCCTCTTCTGGGTTTTCTGGGCCTTCGCCTTCTGCTCTTTTCTTCTGCCAAATAATTATTGTAGGCTTTTTGGCACTGCCAGCTGCAAGCAGCATCTTCTTGGTGGTCATCTTGTCCAGGCCATCAACATGTGCAACATGATCAACCACAGCACACAGGGAAGCCACCATTTGCTCTCTCATGTAGCATGTCATAATTTCCTTTTTGAACAAAAACCCTCTTTCAACCGAGGCTTGGCCATGAGACAGGTGGATGAGCATCTGCACAACATTCCAGAGCTTCTTGTAGGTGCTTGATGACAGAAAGGAATGCCAAAAAGTGTCCAGTTGATCAAAAGTTGAAAAAGCTTGAAACTGTGCGTTCAATTCACTGCAATGTTGAGATTCAACTCTAAAGTTGTACATCTTATAACACAACACCATCCACATCTGTGTTAGGGAATATCTTGGCATCAAGAAGCAAAGTGAGCAGTTCTTCAACTATCTTGCCGGCTTCCTTACAGACCTTGATAGAGATTTTTGGCACCAGCCATCTCAGCTTCCTACCAAGGCCATACCTGATAGGGCTCTTGTCCAGTAGCTTTTGAAATACAGCCTGCATGAAGTCCTGCGCTTGTGTCTTGAAAGTGAGAACTTGCAGCGCACTTGCCTTCTTGTCTGCAAGTTGTTTTTTTCATTGCGGTCCTGGCCATGTAACCAACATCAACTTAATTGAGGGAAATCAAAATGACTTTTGTTCCATGACTTTCCATGACCTGAAATGAAATCCAATGACTTTCCAGGTTTTCCATGACTGGTATGCACCCTGTGAATATCTATAAAAAATCAGCAACATTCTTTGCAATTATGCTAAATCTCATGAGACTCAACAGAAGTTCAGAACAACAGCAAAGGAAATCTAACAAACTGAACAGCAAGGGTACGGCCAACTTGGTTGTAACTTGTAGGGTCTAGAAAGCTCACAATCACGAGTCACACCTATTGCCGGCGGCGGGAGACTGTGAGTTACTCTCACCATCTCACGGTTACCTCTACCTCTACGTAAACCATAAGAAAGTCAATCCGCTAAGACCCACTATTTCTCAAGTCACGTCTCCAACCTACAAAACAGCCAAAGAACTCGATACCATCATAAAACCGTATATTCCAAAGTAGTTCTTTGTGAAATCTACAGATGACTTATTGCATATCCTATGCGCTGTATGCCCATCAGTCTTCTAAGTTCTAAGTTCTTGCGTCACTTGATTTCACCAGTTTCTTCACCAATGACCAACTGAAGAAACATTAGACATCATTGCAAAGCATGTATATTAGGGTGGTCCTCAAAAAACTTTTCATGAGGAGCCGAAAAAACATGAGGAGCCCAACGATGGGGCTCCTCATGCACCTGCCATTGTTTTTGGTTTTGCTCCTCCTTACGGACAAGTTTGACATCGATATCTCCCATGTTTCCCAGGTGACCAGGCTACCAATGCAGGACAAGGAAGGCCTTTTCATCCTCAATCTTCATGACAGAGGGCACATCCTTGTGGGCCACATTGAAGACCCTCTATAATTCCTCCTTGAAGAGGGATTCCTCTTGGTCTGGGCCTTGGATTCCCGTGGGACAATTCTTCTTGACTAGCTCCTAAGCCTCCTATCCTAACGTATATTCTCATCAAACTTTGCCAGCTCTACCAAAACCTGTTGTTGTTGTTGCTGGCAGCTTGAAGGTGGGGAAGTAGCTGCACGATGACCACTTGTTACACTTGGAGTCAGCAGAATTTACTTGGGAAGTTTCAGTATTATTTCACTGATTCTTGGGAGATTTTATCTGGTGGGCTTATAGCTTATACATCTGATCTCAAACCAAGATGATACTTGTGCATTACAGAGAAGCCAGGGGATTTGTCTGTGTTAAATAGATGACTGTTGCTCTTATTATTGCATGCTGAACATTTCTGCAAAAGTTACCTCCTCCAAGTAGTATCCAAACAGATGGATGCTAGAAACCCAAGGCTTAAGTAATATTGATCAGCACCAGAGGCTCCAGGTGTGCATGCCAGAAAAAATGCTCTATGGTATCTTCTACCCCACAGTGCAAGCACATGGGAGTGTCAGCCATGCAAAATNAGAAGCAAGATGATGTCATTTCTTCAACAACTAAGGCAGAAATCCAGTCCAGCTCCCAAGGCCTGACAGGGCAAAAACAAAGCAAAGCAGGTGTGTCAGAACACAAGAGATGAAACAATGCAGAATGGTTGTGAGTATGACCCATCCTTGCAACTGCATCTGCCCTCTAATTCTCAATAATGTCAGCATGGGCCTTGAGTCTTGACTCACTGTAGGCCCACAGTTTTCCTCTCATTCAGACCAAGGAGCAACTGGTGAATTCAATATACAAGATTGCAACTCATATCTGTTGGGGAACATAGGAGCTGCAAGGCCACACGTGAATGAGAAAATAGCCCAGCACAGAGATGTCTCACTTACAAGCTTCAGAGTGATACAAGCTATGGTGATCAATTCAGCCAACAGGATGCCATGCCTGCAGCCTAGGGTTAAGCCTCCATGCAACTGCTCTTGCTTGTGATGGTATATATAAACCGCAGGCTGTAAATGGATTGTTCGTCAATTGCAACCATCACAGTAGATTGCCTTGTACCCAGGGTAATGTTCCCAAACATGAGCAGTTAGTTAGTTAGTTTAGTGGCCAAATGTTTACTAGCGCTTCAGCTATTTAGCTATCTCGCACCGAAAGTCAAGATGAACATCTCAACATCACCTAACTTCATTTTCAACTCAGGCACTCATAAATCCGCCAATAATGAACGGATTTTATTCCAATTTGAAATATAAGTAGATAATATGGGAACGCAGCCGTGCACCACAAATTTTGTACACCAATAAGCCCTGAATCGAACGCCTTGGATCTTTCCGGACATCCACCAATCAGCCGTGAATGGAATCTGCTATCCGTAACCGATCATTGACATCTTTCTGCTTTGAATATTTTGAGCTCCACACCCCCCAGACACGAGATCGAATAGCCTAGGGTCGAATGACCGTCCACCACTGAACGTTGCGTCGAAGCATCACTTCATACCCTGGCCACCGCTCGAATCGCAACTTGCGCGCAACAGCCTGCGACCACTTGGATTTGCCCACCTCCGGCCTCGCATAAAACCTGCCGTGCACCACCAGGCCGTCGGTCGAAAGAGCCGTGCGACTGGCTGAGTCAGGTTAGGTTAGGTTGGGTTAGCACTCGGCTGGAGCGCCATACCCAGGATGATGCTGTTTTCCGCGGATTAATCTGGCGTATACAAGGCTCTGACAACTTGCCCCGGCGTACGCCTTGGCGTAAATCAGGAATAAATTG